GGGCGACAGGCCAGAGGGGATGGTGGCCCTGTACTGTGATGGGACAGATATCGGTGCCATGCTTCCTGCAAGACTGCCTTCTCTGGGGCTGGAGCAATAGCACAGTGGGCAGGGTGTTTGCCTTGCACGCGGCTGACCCGGGTTCGATTCCCAGCATCCCATATGATCCCCTGAGCACCGCCAGCGGTGATTCCTGAGTGCAGAGCCAGGAGTAGCCTCTGTGCATTGCCAAAAAGCAAAAAAAAAAAAAAAAGAAAAAAAAAGAAAAGAAAGAAAAAAGAAAAGACTGCCCCCTCCACGGAAAAAAAAAGCAAAAAAAAAAAAAACAAAAAAAAGAAAAGAAAAAGAAAAGCAAAGCAAAAAGAAAAGAAAAGAAAAGACTGCCCCTTCCAGCGTGGAGGTCCTGGGGGCAGTGGGGACCATAGCGGCACATCAGCACCGCACACTATCGTAACCAAGTTTCTAAGCGCTAATAAAAGATTCAATGACAAACACACGCAACAGTTTCCCAGACTCACCGGGATTATTTGATAAGAGATCAGAGATTCCTAGCTTTTACATTTTTCTTCAATTTCCTTTTTCGCATTTTGGGGGAGGGGGGCAAATACACCCCGCTGTGCTCAGGGTGGACTCCTGGCTCTGTGCTCACTCCTGGCAGGTTCAGGGGACCATCTGGGGTGTCAGGAATAGGATCCAGGTTGGCCTTGCGCCGGGCCAGCACCTCATCCACTGGACTATTGTCCCACCCCGTTTCTTTTTTTTAAGTTGAGGTAGCAGTTGTTTATAAGGAAATAAATAACTATGTTTTAGGGGCACTAAGATGCCCACCCGGGGCTGGAGTGATAGCACAGCAGGTGGGACGTTTGCCTTGCACACAGCCGACCCGGGTTCGATCCCCAGCATCCCATATGGTCCCCTGAGCACCGCCAGGAGTGATTCCTGAGTGCAGAGCCAGGAGGAACCTCTGTGCATTGCCGGGCGTAACCCAAAAAGCAATAAATAAATAAATAAATAAATAAATAAATAAGTGCCTTAAAAATAAAAGATGCCCACCCGTCATCTGTCACCCATGTGTCAGTGCTCGTCACTACACTCCATCAGACACTGCCCCCTGCCAGGTGCACCCCGTGGCATTTGCTCTGAACCAAGTCTAAGGACTTTTGGTGCCACTCTGCGTGCGTCCGCCCGGAGAGGGCAGCGGCTGGCTCTGGTCTCCCTCGGCTGCTCTGCGTGTAGCACACTGCGTGCTGCTGGCTCCCGCTCACCGGGGTCCATCCCATTGCGTGGCACCCGTCTCCCTCACTCATCTGTTGGGACGCTCGGGTTCCGTCCAGCTCACACCGCAGTGCTCGGAGCGCCGCATTGAGCCTTCCTTCATCTGTGTGACAGTCGCCTATCATACCGCACAGTGACACTTAGCCGAGACCCCCTTCCTGAGTCTTCGGAGTTCGGCTTCGTCCCGCCTCTGACATCGCGCTGGCCGCACAGATTGCGTGTTCCGGCCGCCTTGGGGAAGGGCCGAGCTGGGGCACCGACCAACGGCCCAGTGATGAGGCCCCGGGCCCGTCCCTCAGGCTGCCCTGGGCACCTGCAGCTTTCGCTGCCTTCGCTCCGCTCTCCAAGGACTGGGGCCAGGGGGCCCGAGGAGGGTGCTGGGGGCAGGGGGAGAGGCGAGAAGGGAGCCGGGACGGGGCAAGGCTGTGACTTGGCAATTCAACCCTCGCTTTGTTTGCTGAAGACAAGCACTCTCTCGACTGCTGCAAAAAATGCCCCTGAGCCGCTTAGGAGTGAGTGTGTGTGTGTGTGTGTGTGTGTGTGTGTGTCTGTGCGTGTGTGTCTGTGTGTCTCTGTCTGTGTGTGTCTGCGTTTCTGTGTATCTGTGTGTGCCTGTGTCTCTGTGTGTGTATTTCTGCGTGTCTCTCTATGTGTCTCTGGGTGTCTCTGTATTTCTCTGTATGTGTCTGTGTCTCTGTCTCTGTGTGTCTCTGTATCTGTGTGTCTGTGTGTCTCTTTGTGTGTGGGTCTGTGTTTGTGTGTGTCTGTGTGTGTCTCTCTGTGTCTCTGTGTTGTGTCTGTGTGTCTGTATCTCTCTGTGTGCTTGTGTGTGTCTGTGTCTCTCTCTGCCTGTGTGTATGTCTGTGTATCTGTGTTTCTGTGTGTCTGTATCTCTGTGTGTGTGTCTGTGTGGCTCTGTGTGTGTCTGTATGTGTCTCTGTGTTGTGTCTGTGTGTGTTCATGCATGTGACTTCGCAGGCAAGGCGGTCCTGTGTTGGGGAGTCGTGAGCTGCTGGTCTTGCAGAGGCTGTGTGGTGCCTCACTGCTGCAGTAATCCCTGGAGTGGCAGAGAAGGTACAACCAGGGGAGTGGACGAGGCCTCCGGAGGGGTTGTCGCGGGCCCCGAGAGCAGTGTCAGGGGGCAAAGGGCGAGGGCCGAATCGCTTCCAAAGCAGCGGCGAAGTCAGAGCACCCTGGGCCATGGTTGTGCTCGGGTGCCGGGAAACCCCCCACGGCCCGAGCGTAGAGCCAGGAGGAAGTCCGAGTATGTCCCGAGTATGGTGAGATATGACCCCCACATGAATAATTAAACACAGAATAAAATGAAAACTTAATATTGTTAGTATATTTGAGTAAAACCGGAGCTTGATGGCCTTTCACTGAAAGGCGTCCTGGAGGCTATGGTCAGGCTGCCGAGAAACGGGGTATCTGGGGTCTGTCACGAAAGAAACTTCAGGTCTTTTCTATTGGCTTTAGCATCAGGTCTTTCGGAGAGCTGGTCTTGTTTTGAAGAGTCAGTTTTTCTTTGTCTTTGAAAGCTTTGTTACTTTTTGGTTAAGAGGGCAATCATTTTGGGGCTCCAGTGATAGCACAGCCGGTAGGGCGTTTGCCTTGCACGTGGCCGACCTCGGTTCGATTCCCAGCATCCCATATGGTTCCCTGAGCACCGCCAGGGATAATTCCTGAGTGCAGAGTCAGGAGTGACCCCTGTACATCACCGGGTGTGAAAAAAAAAAAAACAATAAAAAAACCCACAACAACGAAAGAAGAGGGTAATCATTTTGTAGCTGTTGTGTGTTTCAACTGTTTCATTTGAATTTTTGACATTTATTTTCTGGGGGCTGGAGTGTTATAGAGGGGTAGGCACTTGCCTTGTTGTGGGCTCATCTGGGTTCAATCCCTGGCACCCTGCGTGGTCTCTTGGGCCCTGCCGGGTCCCTGAGCGGAGCCCGGAGGAAGCCTTGCAGGAACCTCCAGGAAGCAGGATTCCGCGTTGTTGTACTTTGTACCCCCAAGCCCAGGGAAGCCTTCCCCTCCCCACCCCAACATTTTTGTTTGTTCGTGGGCCACATCCGGCCGTGTTCAGGGACTAAACCCTGCACTCAAGGGTCTCCCCTGCAGAAGCCCAGGGGACCATGTGGGTGCTGTGGACCGTACCACGCCCTCCCTGCTGCACTCTGGTCCATCCAATCTGCTGACCCATTAATCCACTCTGGCCCCCAGGGCCATTTTTTGTTTTGTTTTGGGGCCATGGTGGGCAGTGCTCAGGGCTTCCTCCTGGCTCTGCACTCTGGGATCACTCCTGGCAGACTTGGGGGGCCATGTGGGGTGCTGAGGATGGAGCCCGGGCCTGCTGTGTGCTCTCTCTGCCCCCCACACCCAGGACTGCCCTAGGCCAACTGTCATATGTGAGTGCCCGGGGCTCATGCAGAACACGGCAGACTAGTGCTCTGATGCCAAACTTCTCTCCACTCCCGGGTCATCCTAAAATGTGGCTTCTCCCCACAGCCCCGCCTCCACTGGCCACCCGGGAAACCACTCAGAACAGCGGCTCTTCCGGGCCCAGCTCCTCAGGGGTTGGTTGCTTTACTGCCATGCGACCAGACTTGCTCCAGGAGATTTAGTCCTGCACATACAAAAGTGTGTATGCACACATGTACACCCATGACACATATGCACAGCACACACACACACCTATGGAAACACATGCGAACACAGGTCCACACACATGCATGACATATACACACATGCACACCCACGGGCACACCCACGCTTGCCTGTGGACACACATGCATATCCATGAACACATGCATGCTCATGGACGCACACATACAAGCACATGCACAGCCATGGGCACAGCCACAGACACACACACGAGTACATGCACACACAGGCATGTGAACCCACACAAGGCACACATGCATGTAGGCACACATGTATGCAGGCACACATATACACACGTGGACACAACGCACGCACACATCGCATACAGGCACACATGTGCACACACATGCAGGCCGGCTCACACATGATCTTCAGTCTAACATATTCCCACAGATATGCTGCAAGGGGTTATTTTGGGGCGTCATCAGCTCCCCCTTCCCTCTGCGGACAGGCTGTCCCCAGAACCAGCAGAAGGCAGGTGTTGAGTGGCGGAGAGCCCCGCTGCGGGCTAGGGGTCAGGTTCATCTAGACTAGTGCGTGGGCTGCCCGGGGCTCTGGGACCCGGAGAGGCTCTAGTGACAGGACACGTGCCGACCCAGCACGAGGGGACAACAGGGCTCGGGATGCAGTGGCCCAGCTTCTGAGGTCAAAGAGGCCCCAGCCGCCTAATTCCAGAAAACCCACGCTTGGCCAGGAGGGCACTCGAGGGGCAGCCCAGCACTCGGCCCGGCCGTCCACATTTCACCACCAGGCGGCCTTGGTTCTAGAACCTTCTCCCGGGCAGGGGTTCGTCCACTCCAACCCTAGACCGCAGCTCTGCTTCCTTCTCTTTGCGAGGGGATCAGGCAGGGGTGGTCGATGAAAAAGAAAACCAAAGCAAACCACTCCGTTGCACCCACAGAAGAGCGGATTCGCCAAGCCTTCGTTTTTGTCCATTTATTTAGAAAAAAATTAACATGGGCAAATGAGATTCCTCAGTGTTACAACAGAGTATAGAAACGTCTAGCAGTAGTCAAATAATCTGATCTTTAAATACAAAATAACCACATGAACACCTAATATACAGGTTTCATCTGAATACATATTTATTAGATAAATATTAGCGGTGTCACATCATCTAACTACATACAGCTTTGCAAGACTAGAAATCACAATTAGTTTCTGACCAGTTTAAAGTATGAAATGATCGCAATTGTACATGGGTGTACAAAGACGGCGGCTTCGGCGGGGTCACTGCAGGCTGCACAGGGGTGTGGATGTGGGGGCGTGTGTGTGTGTCACCTGCGATCATGATATCAAAAATTATACAAAGTATGAATTTGGTTACAATTTTCTTCTGAAATCCCCGTTTTTTTTTTCATTATTTCCATAGCACCCTAAAAATACACAGGTGGCAGGACCAGTACACTGAAGCTAAGTAGTACATGTAGGTAAAAGAAAAACAAGAACAGAACAGAAAAAAAAAAGGAAAAAAAGAATTCCTTTCCACACGGGGTCAGAGTATATTACACGGAGGGGACGGATGTGGCGAGACCTCACAACGCTAGCAAACAGGGTCTAGGTTTCCCATGTTAAAAGATGAAGTTCCAAGCCTTTTTAGTTATTTTTGTCTGTTTTGTCTGGTAAAATAAAAACAATACACATTCCAGGGGCATGAATGCATCTGTTAACTTGTCTCTATTGCTCATTTACATATATACACGTCCCTTGGGGGTAACTGCTGGGGCCGCTGCTGGGGCCGACTTGTGGCTCATGGGGTGGGCCGGGGGCGTCGGGGGCTCCCGAGAGGGAGACAGTATTAGAAGTTTCTTCAAAACTAAAATGGCTACGGGACATGACGCGTGGGTAAAGCTTCAAACCAAGAGGTGGTGACTGCCCGGCTGGGCCTGCTGTCCACGGTGGCTGGCCTGGCCCGGCCTGGGGCGGCACGCTGAGCCCTCAGGTTGTGTTTTGTTTTTTTTGCTGAGGTGACTTATGGCTCCAAGTGTCGTCAGGCCGGGAGGCAGGTCCCAGAGTTCCGGGCTGCCCTGAGGAAGGGCCGTCTTCACTGGGTGCGTCCCGGCCGCACACGGTGGCCCAGGTGACCGGGAGGAGGCCCCCCCCAAGCCCTTGTCCTGGCTCCGAACTCCCCTGCCCCCAGCGCCGGCTGCAGACTTGGGAAGCTGGGCGGTGGTGGTGGTGACTGAGTGGGGAGCACCCCAGAGCCACGTGGACCCCAGGGCTTTCTCGGAAGGGACAGCCCAGCAGGAAGCAGGTGCCGAGGGCAGCGGGACGGACATCCCAGGTGGCTGACGGGCTGCCAGGGCCCTGGGGACACTGTGCTGCCCAGGGCGGGATGGCTCTGAGTCGCGGCAGCGTGGACGCCGGGCCATGCACTTCCTTCCTCGACGGGACGGACGGACAGGCGGCCCTGGCGACATTTTTGTTTTTGTTTGTTTGTTTTTTTAAAAAAGGACTCGGTCTTTTGTCGCTGAGTCAAGGTCATTTTTTTTTAAAAACACCAGCAAAGGCTAATAACCAGGTCATGAAAACGTTGAATATTATCAAAGACGATACTAAAATATTCACAAAGATATTTACAAAAGCAATTCTTAAAATAATCGATTTGCATACTGAACACCACGCTGTCAGAAAAAACTTCAACAACGGGACAGAGGGGGGGAAAAAGTGGGGAGTGGGGGGAAACGGCTGGCAGCTTTCCCAGGGAGGCCAGTGGGGGACGCGGGAGTGCTGGAGGCCGCCAACCCGGGAGCTGGCGTGAGACGGAGACCCACAGCCCGGGGCAGCGGCAGGGGAGACACCACCAACAGACAGACGGTGCCCCGACCCTACGTGGGGTTGGGGGCACGGGGCGTCTGAAGCAGGACGGATGCAGAAGCGCCCCGGAGACCCCAAGATGGGGGTGGGGGTCGAAGCAGGAAGACTGCTTCTGCAGGAGGGAGCAGGGGTGTGGGGTGGAGGGGCGGGGAGGGAGGTCACGGAAACCTCCCCGGGGGGTGGGGAAGTGGGAGGGAGGAGGCAGGCCGGGCAGGGGCTCGCAGGGACGGGCAGTGGTGGACGCTGGGCAGAGGCTAGACTAGCCGGTGCCTCCCCATGGCCCCCACCCGACCGGATCCGGGGCCGGGGCCTGTGGAGGCGGGCGGGAGAAACGGCTTCTCCCAGGCGAGCGCCACGCTCCGGCCCCAGCCTCCGCCTGGGCCGTGGGGCGTGAAGCAGAACCAGAAGCTGTTTCTCCAGCCCCTCCCTGCCCAGCTCAGAGCACGGTCACTGCAGTGGGTGCCCGGCTGAGTCCCGGGGCCGTGGGGCCGTCTGCCTGCACAGGGCCCCGTCCCTGGCACCCCCCACCCCTGTCCGCCGTCTGCCCGACGGGACACGTGGCGCCTTGGCATCAGAGTCCGGCGGTCGGGGCGCGCCGCAGACCACGGGAGCGTCTGCTCGTCCCGGAGGTTTGTGCTTCTCTGTGGTGGGGGGCTGGCACAGGGCGGGGGTCTCCTGTCCCATGGCACCGCCCCGCCCCGCCCGGCTGGGCTCACCTCGTCCGGGGCACGCTGCGTTCCAGGCTCAGTCATTCGAAGGAGGCTCTGGGCACACGGTCAGGGCCACCGCGCAGACACCAGGGGCCCCCGGGCTGGGGATCGGCACTCGAGGGTGGCTGTCACAGTGCCCCCTCCCGCCCTCCGCGCGGGGAGACCCCACGGCAGGTGTGAGGGGCGGCTCTGGGGCGGGGCCAGTGTGGGCTGTGCTGGGCAGGGGCGGGCGGCCCGAGGGGCCTCAGTTGTTCTCGAAGAGAGAGAGGAGGTCGTCATTGCTATTGCTGGGCAGGTCGGGGGGGTCCAGGTACGAGAGGAGCTCGTCGGGGTTGGTGAGTTCTGGAAGGAGCTGCAAGGGAAGCACGGAAGCCCGGTGAGGCACTGGGTGCCCGCGCCCCCCCCCCCCCCAATCCAGCAGGGTATCAACCTGCCGGGTCCTCCCCCGCTGCGGGGGTGGGGTCCCTGGGGTCCTGCCCTCGGGAGTCTCACACGGCGCCCCCAGACCCCTGCGGCTGGGCCGAGAGGCCCTCAGTTGCCACGCTGACCGTGCTGGACGGGGGGACCTCTCATCGGAATGGACTCCAACCGCGGCCCCGTTTCTGCCTCAGTCCCCGCCCCCACCGTGTGCCCACCCAGGGGCCCTCGGAGTGCGTGACAGAGCGCGGATGACAGAGAGGCAGTTGGGTGGGACGACGACACAGGACAAGAAGCAGAGACAGACAGACACCAGCGAGACAGACGGGTCCTGGCACTGAGCCTGCCCTGCCTCGGGTGGGGTGTGCGGGGGGGGGGGGCAGGGTAGGTCTGCGTGGGGGCCGAGGCCTGGCCTAGGGAATAGGGCGGGAGCCCGGAGCCGGCCCCCCACCCCCGAGGGGCTGCGCCTGATGCCACCCAGGGTCCGGCGACCCCCCGACTTACATCCAGCGAAGGCTCCGGCATGTCGGACGCTCCCTGGGCTCCGGCCTGACCCTCTAAGGCTGAGGAGGGGTTAAAGGTCAGGTCGCCGTGAGGATGGTTGCCGGGAGCGGCCTGAGGCGGTTGCCGGGGCGGCTGGGAAGGTGCCGCGCTGTGGTGCAGTGGGGGCCCTGCCTGGCTGCCGGGGTGAGGGGCGTGCAGGCCTTGCTGCATGGAGGGGTGGGGCTGCTCAGAGCCGCCAGCGTGGGGCATCTGCGGAGGAGGAGAGCAGGAGAGCAAGGTGAGTGCCGAGGACAGCAGCGACACGCCTGGAGGAGGGAGAACCAAACGGAACCAGGGAGGGCGGGCGGGGGACCCCAAACGAGCGGCGGCAAGACCGGACGTTGGTTTGTTCTTCGGTCGAGGAAAAACAAGGGGGAGAAGAAAAAAAATCCCCTCCACGGGCTGCGGACCGGAGGCTGGGGGGAGGCAGGCCAGAGACACCCGCCCGGCCGGACACCCTCGTCCCAGTGAACACGAGGGCCAACGGGGAGCCCAGTCAGTGGGGCGGGGGCAGGGGCAGGGGCAGAGGGCCAGGCCAGGGCGCACACGCGACAGACAGCATGGAGGTGGCGTGCAGCTGGAGGGGACAGCCCAGCCGTGCCTCCCCAGGGTGCCGAGGAGGCGGCCACCGGGGCTGCAGGGACGCTGGGGTGAATCATGACCACGCAGACAGGAGCTGGTGACGCTGGGGGACTGCGGGTGGTGAGAGCCCCTCCCTCACTCCCGACACCCAGTGCCTGCAGCTGGCCAACCGGGGCCTCGGGCCTGGGCCCCACACAGCTCTGGCTCCCCGGCCCCACGAGGGGTGGACAACTTCCTAGAGGCCACTCCCCTGTCCTGTCCTCAGACCTGCTCCCAGGCATCCCTGCCGTGCCATGAGCTCAGCGCCCGGCGTCTCCCACCCGGCTGGGGCCCTGGGGGGCGGCCGATCCCTGAGGCTGGCTGGTGGGTGCCTCTTAGCGCCATGGCCAGCGCAGGCAGCCTGGACGCGCTGTCCCCGGCACCCCGCCAGAGCCTGAGGCCCAGGGGCAGGAGTGCCCGGCCACGGTGGGGACTGATGGGGGTTGATTTCTGGGCTCCGGGGGAGCACCCGGGGGGGGGGGTGTCAACTCAGGGCGGGTCAAGGAGCCCCAGTGGCCGGGGGGAGGATCAGGACACTCTCCCAGGGCTGGGGAGTCGAAGTAGTTCCCACCAACCAGGTCCCTGTCGGGCAGCCCAGGCCTTGGTGCTCCAGGGGGGAGGGATGGTCCTCCTCCAGATGGCCAGGCTAGGCCACAGTGGCTGCCCGCAAACCCAAGCAAAGGCATGGGCTCCCTGGGCTGTGTTTGTCTCTGCACCTGGCCTGACCCTTGGGTCAGGCTAGGGCCGCACCTGCCCAGCCGACTGGCCCGGGCGATGCTCACTGGCCAGGACTCAGGGCAGCAGGCAGGAGGGTGGCCCAAGACCGCAGGGGCCACTCAGCACCCAGCGAGCAGTGTGGAGTGGGCGGGAGCCAATACCCAAGAGGTGCCCCCCGCCCCCCTGCAGGAAGGGCAGGGCGCCCGTGCAGACCCCTCAGTCCCGAGGGAGAGGGAAGAGGCACTCACGGTTTCCTGCATGGAGTGGCTGAGGGGCTTCTCGAGAGCGGCCATGTTGCTCGGCATGTCTGGGGGGTGGGAGAGTTGCGGGGGGCCGTGCATGAAGTCGTTCATGGGCGCTGCGCCGGGGTTCCCGTGGGGGAAGTCGAAGCTGCCGTGGGTCTGGTAGTTGTTGCCTGGGGGGTGGGGGTGGGGGGAGGTCAGACAGTGGCGGTCACCCAAGGGGCTGGGTGATCTGCAGGCAGTGGGCAGGGGTCCCACAGCTGTAAAAAGGGGCTGGACAGGAGAGAGGGGCAGTGGGCCAGGGGGTGGGAGTGAGCTGGGGTCTCCCCAGCCTTGGGGGCCACCAGTATGCCCTGAAGCCACAGGGAGCCCCTCAGCTTCCAAAGGCTCGGGGCAGCCACGCCTGGCAGAGCCCACCCACACGCCCCGCCACGGCCTGTGGACGTCCACTCCGCAGGCTGGGGCCCTGGCAGCCCTGGCTGAAGCCTTTCTCCAGGGGCTGCTCTCCCAGGGGCTGGGGAGGGGAGGCCCTTGCAGAGACAAGGACAGGAGGGGACAAGCAGTGGGGAAGAAGGGAAGCAACGTGACCGCAGCGGCCCCAGGCTGGAGCTCCAGGCCCTGAACCGTTCCCGAGGCGGAAAAGAACTGCAGGGAAGTTAGGGAAGAGGAAGCAAGCGGCCGAGGAGGACATGGCTGCCCGGAGAGTGTCTGGATGCCCAGTGGGTCCTTGCCCGGGAGGAGGTGGCTGGGGCAGCCCCGTGCCCGCTGGCCCCCAAACCAGGCGTGGACGCTCAGACACCAACCCGGCCAGGCAGATGTGGTCTGCTCTGATGTGGACCCCACCGTGACACGAAGTGGCCTCGCCTGTCCCTTCCAGGCGCTGGGGACAGGGTTCACTGAAGCTGGCCCCCCCGCCCCCCACCAGGAGCCAGCAGTCACTTACCCTGGCCGCTGTAGTCGCCAGAGCTGCTGCCCGCGGGCGGGGGCGGGAGCGGGTAGGGGGCGGGCCCGGGACCCAGGGCCGCGATCATCTCCATGACGTTGGGCATGGTCATCTGGCTGGGGCTCATGGTCTTGAAGCGCTTGGAGGGGACGCCGTCAGGGTCGTCCTTGATGTGGAGGTCTGACTTGATGGGGACGGGACGCCAGCTGCACGTGGGGTCGATGGTGACCTCTTCAAACTCGGAGCTGGCAGTGAGGAGGACAGGCTGAGTCGGGGGAGGGGGGGGCGGGGCAGAGGGCAGGGTGCATGTCTGCAGCTGGGGGCCCCCGGGGCTCAGGCCCACTGTCCCCGCGCCACGCTCTGAACAGGACACAGGTGCGGTCAGGGGGACGTGTCTGAAAGCTGGCGATGCTCCCGCCAGGAACCGCAAGTGTCCAGGCTGGAGGGCAGCCGTCCAGGGCATGGCAGCTTCCCGCACTGGCCAGCTGTGGCTCTTTCTGGAAAGTTCTTTGGCCCCAGGCACAAGTGTTGCAGAGGCGAACAACGAGGATGTGGAGGGCGTGCCAGGGATGCCCCCCGCCCCCGCGAGTACCCACTTACTGCTGGATGGCGTTCAGGATGCCCCACATGTACTGGTCCACCTCCAGGCCCTCCAGCAGCGCCGTCTTACTGCGGACAGGAGCGGGCGGCTCAGTCCCCACCCTCCCCGTGCCCGCAGGACCCTGCCCTCAGCCAGATGTGAGGGACACTCACTTGCACACAGGACACCTCCAGGTCCCCCGCTCGCAGTTCAGCTGCAGGTAGGACTCCAGGTCAAAGCACTGTGGGAATCCAAGCATGAAAGTTTGTGAGTCTACAACTGTACCTCATGGTGCTTCACTAATAAAAAAAAAATAAAAGAAACAAAAAAAAACAAAGCACCGTGGGACAGTGACACCCTGAGTCTGGAGCCCAGAGCCCAGCAGAGGCCTGGCCCCACCCTGCCCGCTGCCCCTCGGGCGGGTGTGGGGAGCGGAGGGGGCTGGACGTGCCCCCCTCCAGAGCACCCCCATCCCGCCCCACCTCAGCTGACCCTGACCACCAGCTCAGGGCCAGGCCCAGGAGGGGCTGAGTGAGCTCTGACATAGCCCAGCCTCTCAGGCCCAGGCCAGTGGGGTCTGGAAGACGGCATGGCCTGGGCAGGGACAGGGCAGTGGGGGTCGCTGGTGGACAGTGTGGGGGGAGTCAGTTGGGGTTTCTGGTGGATACTAGGGTGGCAGTTGGGGTCCCTGAGTGACAGTGTGGGGGCAGTTGGGGTCACTGGGTGACGAGGGAGCAATCGGATCCCTGGATGACAGTGTGTGTGTGTGGGGGGTCAGTAAGGGTCCCTGGGTGACGGGGGGAGGGGCAGTCGGGGTCCTTGGTGGACGCGCGGTTTGGCGGGAACAGACCTGGACGTGCTTGCAGTCATGGCCACGTGCGGGGAGCTGGATGCGCCGGAAGGTGATGGGACACTTGAGGGACACCTTGATGGCCGTCTGCTCCACGCCGTCCTCCCCGTTGAGGGTTGTGTTCCCTGACGAGGCCGCCACGCTGCTGAAGTTCCGCTTGACTGTGGGCGTGGGTGGGTGAGCGGGGCGGGGCTCCCGCACAATTCCCCGACCTGGGTCCCTCCTGGGCCCAGCTGCAGCCTGATGCACCGCGCCCCCCCCATGGGCAAGAAAGGCCCCAGCACCCCCCCGGCACCCGATGGGGGACTAGAGGGATGAAATGAAAATCTAAGCTGGGGGAAAGGGTGTGTCTCCAGAGTCGTCACCTAAGTCCTTCTCAGGAGAGGCCCTGGAGAGATCAGGCATGGGGTCCCGGGGGCCCCAGCCCCCAGCTCAGGACCCGTTTCTAGCACTCCCCTTTCTCCCAGGGTCACTTCCTCCAGGAAGCCTGCCTGGCCTGCCTGTGCCACGGCACCCAGTCTGACTTCTCCCACCCCAAGGACCACGGGCAGCCGGCGGTATCTGGCACGGAGCCAGGGGTGGACCGTGATTTGGGCCCACACTCACTCTTGGTGATGCAGTGCTCAGCGGGCAGCAGGCGCTTCTTGAGGAGGCCCTGGAGCACGGAGCGCACGGACGGCCGGTGGACCAGCTGCAGCACGAAGAGGTGGGACTGCGGGGGTGGGGGGTGGGAGGTCAGAGGTCAGGGAGCTTGGAGGCCCAGGGTGCGTCCCTGGGTCACCTGCCGGGCACCTGGCCAAGATGACTGTCGTGAGACCCCGCCCGTGAAAGGCCCTGGGCACGGTGCCGCCAGACCCACCCACAGGCCCTGTTAGCCAGCCCCCCGGCAGGGCTCATCACCCCTGCGCCCCACAGGGGTGGGCAGGGCACGGCCACCCAGCCCTGGGTGGGGGAGGAGCAGGCCCGAGGTGGCTCACGCCCTGCTGACCCTGGACGGTCCCAGGGCATCTCTGCAGAGCCGAGCACGGCCCCCTGTGCGGTGCCTGACCCCGCCTCTGTGAGAGGGCGAGAACAGAGCCCCGTGGGGGGCTTCGAGCAGAGGGGCGCGGGCGCAGCGCAGGAGAACCACGGCCAGGCCACTGGCAGAGCAGGGGGGCCGCCCCGCTGGCCTAGGTCTTCCCAAGGCCCCCGTCGGGGTGGCAGGGGTAAGAGCTGGAAGCTGAAGAGTTGGGGGGGCCCTCCCCACATCCCCCCCGCCTGCGGGCGCGGCCCGGCACTCACGCAGCAGCACGCCGTGACGGTGATCTGGATGGTGTTGCGGCCCGGCTGGCACACGTGCTTCAAGTGCAGGGGCTTGTGGGAGGTCTTGTTGTCGCCGCGCTCGATGGTCAGGGGGGTGGCGTTGACGCTGACCTGCACCGACGCCGGCCAGTTGGTGTTCATCTGCCGGTCCTCGTGGTGGTAGCACTTGAACTGCAGCTCCAGGTCGGACCTGGGGAACGAACGGGCTCATCTGACTCTAACCCCCGAATGGTCACCCCGCTCTCTGCGGGCTCCGCTGGACAGACTCACCCAGCAGGCTATAAGCTGGGGCTGGGCGCGTCCCCACCCCAGGGGCCTGCCGGGGAGGCCCCCAAGGCCAAGGCTGCCACTGACTCGGCTGTGCCACCCCAGCTCCGCACCCATGGACACGAGGCAGGGCCACAGAAGCAGCAGGTCTCTGGGTGGGCCCCCCGGGAAAGTGGGGTCAGCGGGCCTCCACGGCCGGGTGCCCAGGCCTGTCGCTGCCCTCAGGAGAGCCCCGGGTGCAGCGCCAGCCAGCACTGCCCGTGTGCGTGGCTCCTCGGATGCTCACCTCCACATCAGCGTCTGGTGGACCGTGGGCCGCAGGTGGAAGACGTGGTTGCTGACGGCCAGGTTGTGCTCCAGGCGGAAGGGCTCGAGCACCACGCCGTCGCGCACCGGGAAGGTGAGCCGCAGCTCGTCGTTGTGGCCGGCTGCGGGCGGGAAGACATGGTGAGCCGTGGCTCCGGGGGAGGGGGGCGGAGGGGGGCAGCCGGCCACAGCTCCATGGGCACTCACCGGGCGGAGGCGGCAGGGCGTTCATATTTGGCTTGATGTCGGGGGGGAAGGGCGGCTTGACGTCTTGGCTGGGGGACAGGTATGCGGGAATGCTGCTACCAGGGGTCATGGGGGGCGTGGGGTTCCCTGGGACAGGCGAGTGCGGGTAATTTGCCACGGGGACAGGCCTGGGAGGCTGCAGGGAGACAGACCACATAGGTTACGGGGTGCAGGACACGCAGCCCCGGCACTCGGACCCCGCCCGCCTGCCCTCTCTCCGCACCAGCCCACACCCTGAGGACCGCAGAGGGGAGGCTGAGGCCGGGGGGGGCGGGGGGCGCGTACCCTGCTGACGGCCCCCTGGCTGTAGTTGCTGTAGCTGCTTCCCGAGAAGGTGTTATTCTGTCCGTTAAACTGCTCTGGCTGCAAAGACAGGTCAGCAGTGCCGTGAGTGGCCGCGAGGACAAAGTTCCGCAAGCCCACCCTGATGCTGGGGCAGGGGCTGGCATGGCCCAGTGGAGCTTGGGGTCCACGCAACCAGGAGACGTAGTCTCTGAAGGCGGCGCAGACCGAGCGAGCACCGCGGGAGGCCGGGGAGTGGACACAGGGGGCAGCCCCACGAGCATCTCCCAGTGACCACAAAGCCTGGAGACACCCATCCCTGATGGCCTGAGACCCAGAAACCACCCACACGACCACCAGGAAGGGAAGGGTCGGGCGGGGCCTGGTGGCCAGTGGAGAGCAAGGGCTGCACGCAGCCGCCGTCAGACGCCAGGCCCGGAGGACACGGGCTTCCCGCCACAGTGGGCTCGCAGCTCTGAGGGCAAGGGCGTACATGCCTGCCGCAGAGACAAAGTTCAGGGAGAGGGTCTGCCCCCAGGTAGGAGCAGGTTGGCTGGCCTGGCGTGAGCGCCCTAAGCCACAGAGCCTGAGCCCTGGGCACGGCTGGCACAGGGAAGACGAGGGGCAGGCACTGGTGGGACTCACCTTGTAATACTGCCCCATGTTGACTGTAGGGGGTGGGTACTGCCCGGTGCTCGGCTGGCTGGGCATCCTCTGCCCAGGATAGTTGGGGGAGGTGAGGGGCCTTGGGGCGTTGGGGGTGGGGTACTGGCCCGGCTGGGTGGGGAACTGGCTGTTTGGTCCGTATTGCTGGTTTCCGTAATTGGGCTGTGGCAGAGAGGACGGGGAGGGTGGTGGTTAGGGCCATGACGACGGTACTGCCCCGTGCCCCGTGGTCCCCTCCTACCCTGCGCGGCCTGAGTCCCAGAACCCGCCGCCCTCCCAGGACTCAGCCCCTCACGCCACTGGGAGGGGGCGGGACTTGAAAGGTCCTGTGCATCTCCACCAAGGAAGCACAGTGGCCGCCCCCTGGCAGGCGACCCGGGCCAGCACGTGTGCTGAGTGGGGGCCAAGGTCAGGTCGACCAGGGACGGAAATGAGCCCCCTCTGGAGACCACGAAGTCTCCAGGGACGGGCAGAGGCCGATGCACGGTGACCAGGCCACTCCTGCCCACTCTGGCACCTGGTCAACGGATCGGGGAACCTGCAGGGCCATCTGCTGCCCCACAGCCTGTGGCCTGGGGTCAGCGGGCACTCCCGCCCATCTTAAGTCTCTCTGGCACAGGTGCAGAGGTTTCTGAGCCTGGACAGTGTGTCTCAAGGACTCCTTGTCTCTGCTGAGGGCAGTGCAATCTGGACGGTTGCCACCCAGCCAGAGCACGCTTGGCTAGGGTGGCCTTTGGGGTGGCCCAGAGCACAGCAGGGTCACTGGTGCCAGCTCACTGGGACCCTTATCGCCTTCCCTGGAGGGTGGGCCTGAGTGTCCGCAGCCCGGCCAGTGGGGACACCAGGAGAGGTGTGTGGCCAGGCGCCCCGCGGGGGTCTCTGCTCCTGCCCTGGGCCTCATCTGAGCCACGCTCCTGGGGACCCCGACTTCCCCTGGGCTCATCAGGATCGGAGTCACCTGTGGTCGAGCCACGTGGGATGTCGGCAACACCCAGAGGTCTCACTCCCAACCCGTGAGCCCTCCGAGCGGGCAGTGGCAGGAGGCTGCGGGCAGCTCCCCAGGGTTCCACAGTCGAACCAGACACTGAGCCCGGATGGCACTTACTCCGCGAGTGCTCACGAGGTGCCCTGCGCCCCTTCCTTCAGGAAGCCCCCCGGCCTGGCCTCACACGCGCCAGAGGGCGGGAAGCTGCTGCACTTTTCTCACTCGACTCAGCCCTGTCCCGCCCGCCCTGAGCAAGTCCCGGCCCGCTTATCCCGTGCAGAGCTCGGGCCGTCGGCCGCTGGGGGGCGGACGATGTCCCCGAGGGCCCGAGCAGAGGCCTGGTCTGGGGAGGGCAGAGCCGGACTCGAGCTCGGAGGCTCCTCGGGCTCTGCTGCGGCCGCATGGTGCTGTCCACGGCCCCCACTGCCCGGCCCGCACGCGCACTCACCTCGCCCGGGTAGGGCCTCTTTATGCTCTGAATGGGGAGGGACTGGGGCCGGGGCCCCGGGTAGCTCTGCTGGGCCATCCGCTGCCCGTGGGTGCCAAAGGGGCTGATGCCTGGCGGCCGGGGCTGGTTCATGCCCATGGGAGGGCCGCTCATTCCCGAGGGCGTCATGCCTGCCGCCATGTTGGCGGGGTTCAGGCTGCCCCCCATGGACGTGGGGCCCCGTGGCCCGGGCTGGTTCATGAATTGGCTGTTATACGCCTGGGTGGGACCCATCTGGAAAGAGGAACAGACCTTCAACGGGAGGAGAAGAAAAACAAGAATAAAATGCCACATGCATTGAAAGTGCAGGGAGGGGAGGGGGAGAGGGGGGCTTGGGGCTGGGGTGGGGTGGGGGGCATGTTTCCCAGCGGCTGTGGCCTGGCTGTGGCCGGTGACCACTGGCTGCCTGGGCTTGCTGCTGCCCTCTGCAGGTCACACAGGAAAGGTGCAGACTGGGAGAGGGAGGGGTGATGGGGGGGCATTTTCGGGAAGGCAGGCAGGGAGTGGGGAGGGGGTGCAGGGCATGGGGTGGACGCGGGTGCGAGGGGTGGGGGGGCAAGGCTGGGCGCCTCTCCCAGAGCACTGGCCCTGCCCTCGGTGCTGGCCAGTGGAGGGACCTTCACTGCTATCCCAGGAACCTGCAGCGCCCGCCCCTATGCTCGTCTGCCCTCACCCCTGCCCCGTCGTCCTTCTGAAGGGTGGGTGGTTGGGCGGGGCCTGGGCTGAGTCCAGGCGGGCTCAGACTCTCGGGACAGATCCGGGCCGCATTCGGCTAGAGGGTCTCATGGAAACCCCTCCCGCCCCGGACTCCCAGCACTCGTGGGTGGGCTCTGTGTGTGTGTGTGTGTGTGTGTGTGTGTATGTGCGCGCGCGCGCGTGTAGTGTGTGTGTACGTGGCTTACCGGTCCATACTGGTTCATATCTTTATTCTGCGTCTCCTGCAAGGCCGCCACGGTCGCCGTGGCCGTGGCTGTGGCCGTAGCTGCCGCTGCCGCCACCGCTGCCGCCGCGGCTGCCGCTGCCGGCTGCGTGAAGTCCGCGGGCGGCCTGGTGTGCGGGGGGATGCCCATGCCCGCCGGGGCACTAGGGCCCCCGGGGTAGCTGTGAAGGAGAAGGTGCGAGTCAGGGCCGCCACTCACACCGCTCTGGGGTCCGGGGGCCGCTGCAGAGCCTCTGGGAGGCGGGAAGGATGGGTTGGGGGGCAGAGACAGAGGGGGGCCTGTTCACCTGGCTCCGAAGGCGCCGCTGCCGGGGTAGCTGGGCCGCCCGTACATGCCCTGCTGGAGGTAGGGCTGCGCCGGGCCCGCCTTGGCCGAGAACTGCTGCTGCTGCCCTGCAAACTGCGGCGAGCTGAGGCCGGGGTTGCTGGTGCTCATGCCGGACGCCATGGGGTTGCCGCCGGGGTTCATGGGGTTGTTGGCATTGGCCATGGGGTTCCCAAGGACCTGTGGGCACAGTGGGGAGAGAGGGGCAAGGGAAACGGGGTGGGCATGGGGAAGGGAACGAGGAAATGGACAGTCCAGTGTGTGTGTGTGTGTTTGTGTGTGGGGGGTGAGGGGGTCCCTGCCGCCCCAACCAGAGGAGGGAGGCCCTGTGAGGGGAGCAGGGCCCATGCCCAGCAGGCATGCACGACCACCGCGGCCTACTGCCTTGTGAGGGGACGGGGTGGCGGCCAGCTCCGTGGCCTCTGGTCTCCCACAGGGGCCCAGTTGGCGGGCACAGACTTGGGCATGGAAGGGGTCAGCCCTCAGGCCGGGGAGGGAGAGTTTTGAGTTCCAGCCACTGGGAGGCTGAGAAAGCCGGAAGTTCTCCTGGGCCTGGCAGTCCCCGTGGTTTGTCAGGTGACAGCTGGTCACTCTGCCAGGTCCCCACGGGGCTGCGTCTGCAGGGTGAGCTCCAGGCGGGCGGGCGGGGAGGGGGGGGGCGCCTCTTACCTGGCTCTGGGATGTGTTGGTCACTCCCCAGACCGTGGTGACCACGGAGAGGGAGCCGGGAGGCTGGTTGGTGTTCTGCTGCCAAGGGACAGAGTCGTAGGGGAAGGACCCATCACTGCAAGGGGGACGGAGGACAGGCTCAGGGCAGGCACCCGCAGCCCCACCCAGCCCCGTCAGGACGCCCTGGGCTGGCGTCTGCTGCCCCGGTCCAGTGCCGCCAGGCAGGATCTCCCACCACGGCACCTTTCCCTGGGGTCCCGGCCCTTCACCCTTCCCTGCCTCCCACCCAGCCCACCAGGCTCTCCTGCCTCCTGACCCTGGAAACCATGGCCTTCCCTGGGGACCCGCATGACACTCAGTGTCCTCCTTGCCAGGTGATGCCCCTCGAGTCCTGCCTCTCCCAGAGTCCCCATGTTCATGTCCTGAGGCCCCGTGAGGAGGTCGTGGCCTTCGGCCTCCCATGCTCAGGAGCGCGGGTAACGGCTCCCCGTGAGCGGGACATCCTCAGGTGCTCTGTGGCACCCCCCTGAGCCAGGTCTGCTGGGCATTCCAGCAGAGCGCCCCCAAAGGAGAGCCAGGAAGAGAGCGGAAGTGCAGCTGGGTGGGCGGCTGTCCCGCACGCAGCCGACCTGGGCTAGGTCCCCAGCATTCTTGGATCTCGGGAGCTCCTCGGAAGTGATTCCTGAGTATAGAGCCAGGGGCACCCCCTAAGCACCGCGGGCGTGGCCCCAAAACAAAATAAAAAAGCAAAAACAAACAAACAAAAAAGAGACTCCAGAATGGGGTCAGGGCCCGCCAGCAGGGCACAGCAGGTGGAGCCAGGGCCCACCCCACAGCGAGGGGCGTCTGTGAACCAGCCCCATCCCAGGAGCCCGCCCAGGGCCGAGACGCTGGGCCCTCGGAAGGTGACGGCAGGGGTGGACACTCTGCAGAGGGTGGGCAGCGGCACCACACCCTTCTTGCTGCCCCAAGGTCAGCGCCCAGGAAGGCCTGTCCTGACTCCCTGAGCTGGACAGAATGGCCCCACTCCCCCGCCAAGCCCATCTCCCCCTGCCCGGCCTTTCTCTGGTGCCCGGGGACAAGCCCTGACTCCGTGCAGGTGCAGGTCAGGGGGCAGCAAGAGGGACGGCCCGGCCACATCTGAGCTGGACCTCTGCCAGGTCTAGAGGTGTGCGGGGTGCAAGAGGGCACGGCACGTCTGGCCGCATCAGCGCTGTCCTTGGGGACCGGCCTGCGGTCAAGCGCAGGCTGGGCTGCCAGAGACACTTTCCCTGCCCGGCCCTGGGTGCAGGCCCGCCTTTGCTTTCTGGTTTGTTTTGGGGCTGCGCCAGGCGGTGCTCAGGGATGGTCCCTTGTGGGCCGAGTGGAGGGCACGCGCCTTATCCCAGTGCCATGGCTCCGGGCCCCAGGAACAGAGCAGGCTGGGCAGTGGCTGTCCAGAAGGGCGGGACCCCGGGCACCAGCGCAGCACATGCCAAGGCTGAGGCCGGCTTCTCCCGGCCCGGCCCCCTGAGGCTGAGGCCTTGGTAGGAAAGCCCCAGGCACCCATTGCTGAGGGTGGATCCCTGGAGGGCAGAAACAGCTCCTTTCTGGGGGTGCCCCTGGGCTCAGACACTGGGGGGTGTGCCACCCTGGGCCGGCCGGCCGGGGCACCCTGGGATGGGGCCTGCCGTGGTGTTCACGCTGGTCTGGGGACAGCGTGTGGCGGGCTCAGGCAGAGGAATGACCCGGAGTCCAAGCACGAGCCCTCTCACCCGCCCCGAAGCACAGGGGCTGCCCAGAGGGGCTCTGCTGGCCAGAGCATGGCCCGTCCTTGAAGAGACCACACTCAAGACACCTGCAGGCTCCGGACCCCGCACCCTGCCACCGTCCATCGGGTCAGTCTGAGAAGGCCACAGGGCAGCTGGCCTGAAGCCACGGCCCTCCACCTATCTACCACCCACACCCTGAGACGGTCACGCATCTCCCTGGCTCCTCCGGACTCGTCTGCAGGGACCCCCGTCCTCACTGCCCCAAACGAGTGCCCGCCTCTCTCCGCCTGCCTAACACCCTGAATTCTCCGGTTCCCCAGGCCTGGCAGGAGCCCATCACACACCCAGGGAGAGGCTGCTGTGCTGTGCACCCACGCAGACCCCATGCCCCTGGCGCCCCCACCAGGGCGAGGGCCTGAGGAAGCTCAGACTGCCTGGGTCCTTCTGTGAGGTGGCCCCACCCAGAACCTGGTGCAGAAAAGTGGGCGCCTGCCTGCGCCGTGGACACTGCAGAAGCACTGCCGGCCACGGTCACCATCAGGGGTGGGGTGGGCTTTTGCCCAGGATTCTACACGCATGGGGTGATAGGAAGGGGCTTTCTCCAGAGCCCACTGATGACCCCCAAACGGATTCAACTGGCACAACTGTAAGTGGAGGAGGCTGGGGGGGTGGTCCAGAGCCCTCCAGGTGGCCCGTCCACTGCAGGGGGCAGGAGCCAGCATGGCAGAGGCAGCCTAGGAGGCTGAAAGAAACCCCGGGGTCTGGGTCAGCTTCTGGGGCAACCTGGGGGATCCACCATGGGGCTGGCTGGGTCACAGCGGGCTGCAGAGCAAACCCACATGCATCCCCGAGACAAATGGTGCCCACCGGGCTGGAGCAATAGCACAGCGGGTAGGGTGCTACAAGGATGACCTAGGTTCACTTCCCAGCACCCCTGATGTTCCCCCAAGCACCGTCAGGAGTAATTCCTGAGCATGTGAGCCAGGAGTAACCCCTGTGCATTACTGGGTTTTTGTGACCCAAAAAGAAAAAAAAAAGTGCTCACAGAGTGGGCCGGAGGGAGGGCCTGGCCCCACAAAGCCCAGCTCAGACAAAACACTATGGAAGGGGCTGCCCAGAGCCAACCACAGGCGTGGGCCTGGACCAAGCTTTGTGGCCCAAATTCAGTAACATTTCTGAGGCGAATGTTCCAATGACCAGGGCCGGGAGATAGTCTGGTTGCCTGCACAAGGCCAACCACCCAGGCTTGATCCCTGGTCCTGTGAGCCCCGCAGGAGTGATCTCTGAGCACTGGAAATTAGAAGAGAGCCCCGAGCTGGCCCCCCAAACCAACACACAAAAAAATATATAAATAAGGGAGAAAAAAAAAATCTATTGAAAACTCAAACCACAGAGGAAGGCCTTGGGGCCGGGGGTCCGTGCTATGAGTCGCCCTGTAGGTCAGACCCTAGCTCGGCCCCTGATGGGACGTGGCACTTCCATCATCTCAGCGGTCACACTCGTGAAGACGGTCACTGCCCACCTAGGACAAAACGGAAGCTGAGCGCAGCACCAGTCCTCGTCTGAGACGGGGCACGGCAGCGCAGGACGGTTCTGCACGCCCCGCACCCTCTAAGGGCATCACTGCGCTCTTGCCGAATGTCCTCCACGCCTCACGCTTCCCCGAGCAGCCCCGTCTTTCATCTCTAGCCAGCAAACTCCTTCCCAAACGACAAAAGGCCAGGCTGGAGACGCCCCTTTGTGATTCTCCATCTCCTCTGCACTTCTCATATTTTCACAGCGCCGTCACAACGGATGGTGGCCGTGTCTGCATGCCAAACGGGAGAGGAGGGAGGTCCCCAAGTGGAGGGAGGAGTCCTGGCTCCGGGACACCCCTGCAGCAAGCCCACGAAGCCTGCGTGGGGGGGGGGGGCACTTGCCTCCCCCACACTCCACATCTCCGCACCTGGGAGGGACAACAAGTCCTCCAGCCTGCCTGCCCTGAGTGGGCTCGACTGGCCCCTGCAAGGCTCTGAGGTCCCCCGATGGAACATGCACCGGCCTGTCAGATCTGGTGGTGCGGGCGCTCTCTCTGGCCCAGCACGCTCCCTCGTCCGGGTCAGCCCCTCGCCCCCTCCTCCCGAGCACGCTAACTGCATGTTCCCCACAGGAGTGGACTGCAGGGCCCCTCACCCCCATTCGCTTTCCCAACACTGGCAGGAGCAGGAAGAAATTTTATTTTTGCTTTTTGGGTCACACCTGGTGATGCACAGGGGTGACTCCTGGCTCTGCACTCAGGAATTACCATATGGGATGCTGGGAATCGAACCCAGGTTGGAAAACGCCCTACCCGCTGTGCTATTGATCCAGCCCATTTTTTTTTTTTCTTTTAGGGGCAGGAATAAAGGGTCACGGCAGGCTGTGCTGGAGAGGAGCGAAGGGAGCTGGGCCTGAGTGCCCACCAGTCTGGGCAGCAGAGGGGGTGGTCCTGTCTGTTCCAGGCCAGATTGTGGGCACAGGAAGCCGACAGGCCACAAGGCTGCCCCAGCGGCCCAGAGAGAAGGCCACGAGACGGCCCGTGCCCGGCTGACCGTGGGTGCAGTGGGCCCAGCCAGGGGCGCCTCTCAGCGGGGAGGGAGGGCACCCACCCTTCTTCCCCAGCTCTAGCTGACTTTGACTGTAATCAGGTAAGAGGAAACAAGACCACTAGGCTTTCCTTCCTCTCTGGGCTGATGGCTACCAACAATGTGTGAATGGCCAACGGCCCTGCGCTGCTCCCCCCCAGCTCGGGCGTCTGCATGGGTCTGCCAGCGGAGGGTGGTCCCTACTGGCTGCCCCACCCCGTGGGAGGTCGTGGCCTCACTGGCTGCAGCAGGGGCCACAGGAGCGGGGTCACCAGGGTGGCGGGTCCCCTTGCCCTCTCCTGATGCCTGCGGTCAGGGCCAAGTCTTCGGACGGCCGGACACACCCGCACACCCCACCCTCCAATCTCGGTCCCGGGCAGCCGCCACTGACACTTCTTTTGTCTTGAGCAGCTCCGTGGGATGGGGCTGGAGTTCGATGACACCCAGGGTTCACCCACAGGCGCTGGCTAGGTGACGGCAGCGTGGGCGGCAGCACTTGGCTGTGCTCCCTTGGGGCCGTGTCCTGGCTTGTCGCTGCAGCCCACCTGCCCTTCTAGCTCTGCCACAGGGAGGTGGCACCCCGGTCACAGTCCTCCAGACCTCGAACCCCGCAGGACACAGGCACAACAGTTGCCGTGACGCCAAGGGTTCCTGACTGCCTGCGCCGGGCCACCTGCCGGGCAGCTCTGAGGCCCCTCCACTCCAGAACCTTCGTTCACTTGGGGACACGCTGCCAACGCCCGACTTCTGCCCGCGTCTCGACAGGGAGACGCAAGTCTGGCCCGGCCTGGGGTCGGGCCCAAGAATGAGCGCTGAGTTCAGACCCCAGCGGGACAGTGCCCAAGGGGGACGGAGAGCTGGACCAGCTGTGCTGTGCTGGGCCGTCCCAGTGACCACACACTCCACCCTGCCCTGCACTTGGGGCCCTCTGAGGGGACACCACCACCACCTGGTGAGGGGGCCCCCAAGCCCCAAACCGCTGACTCCGGTGGAGAGCAGGAGTCCTCCCTGGGGGATGGAGGGCGATGCCAAGGCCGCAGCCTCTGTGCGGCAGAGCCGGGCACCCCGCCTCCCCCGGCCGCCTTGGTGCGGTGCGGCCTGTGCGGGGCTCACCTGTGTGACAGGGTGGGTTTCATGGAGCTCATGGAGTTGAGGGGGGGCTGCATGGGGAGCTTCCCGGGGGGGTCGCTCTGGCGGCTCTTCTGGTGACGGAGTAGCAGGAGGCGGCCGAGCTCCTCACACCAGGAGGAGAGCAGCGCTGGAAGGAAGGACAGGAGTGAGTGACCAGCCCAAGGCACCTGCCGTCCCGCCTCTGCTCCGACCCCCACTCTGCGGGACCCAGGATGGGCACCGTGGTCTCTTCAGTGGAGCGAGCAAACAGTCGCAGAGGGGTTTGGTGCCGCCCCGGCCATGGAGTGATGGTCAGGGGCGGAGACGCCGGACGCAGCCACCCCCAGCCAAGGTCCAGTCCCGAACCAGCAGGGCCTGGGCAGTCCCTGCCTTCAGGCCCCTGAGCACACTGACTGGGCAGGAGGGGTGTCTCGGTCAGGCTCTGGGCCCTTCCTCACGCTGGCCACAGAGGGCGGGACCCAGGCGGTGCCCCCTCACCACTGTGGGTGAGAACCCACAGATCAGACAGCGGGCGAGGAGGCAAGAAGGCCAAGTCCGGGGGCCGGGAGAGGCCAGTGCTGAGGGCGCTTGTCTCCAGGCGCGACCCCTCTGTGACCCTGGCGTAGTCAGAAGGCACACGAGTCTGAGGACCGAGCCCCCAAAGGTGGCACGTCCTGTGGCCCTGCCCTCCTGGGACGCTGGCAGGAGGGAGGTGGGTGGGTAGTTCTGTCCTGTGTGTGGGCAGAAACCAACAGGGCGCCCCCAGTGGGCACCTGCCCACAAGAGGCTGAGGGAAGCCGCTGCCTCCGAGGGGCTGAAACAAACGCGTCTCCTTGTGGCTCCTTCCACTAGCAGGAGACCCTGGTCTGGAAGGGACCCCCTGGACCGGATGCGGACAGCTGGGCACTGCCCGCTGGGCACGCCCCAGGCTCGGGTGCCTACTAATCCCCAGGGGGGACGGTTCACTCACGCGGGCACCACGCCGCCTTTGCCACGGGGACCAAGCCTGCTGCAGGGACGGAGTGACACGTTTGCTCGCTGCCATAAGTAGGGAGGGGTTTGCATGGGGAAGCCAGGAATCAGGAGGGGTGCGTGGGGCTGGGAGGGGGCTGGCCGCAACTTGTGGTGTCTGTGTGCGTGCGCACGTGAGTGACGGGAGAACTGGGAGGCAGGGGAAGCTGGTACTCCTGAGGCCCAGACCTGGGGCAGGCCTAGAGCAATGTCACAGGGGGTGGGGTTTTGCCTTTGGCATGTCAAACCCAGGTTCGGTCCCCAGCACCTTATATGGTCCCCCAGAGTGATCCCTGAGTAACACCGGGTGTTCCCCAATGCCCCTCCTCGTGTCAAACCACGCCCTGTGGTAGGAGAGGCAGAAAGGGCTCCTGGGAGCATGGACGTGGGTCAGTGTTGCTGCCTCGCCTGAGGCCCTGCCCTCCAGCTGCCCAGGGCCTGGTACTGTCCCAGGACCCAGGCAACACAGAGACTCCACCCCTCCCCAGACGTGTCCAGACTCATGTAGGGGGGCTGGAGCAATAGCACAGCAGGGAGGGCGTTTGCCTTGGACGCGGTCACGCCGGGTTTGATTCCCAGCATCCCACATGGTCCCCCGAGCACCGCCAGGAGTCACCCCTGTGCATCGCCAGGTGTGACCCCCAAAAAGCAAAACAAAAAACAGATTCATCTAGGACCCCGAGTTGGTCTAGAGTGATCCCTGAGCACTACCTGGTGGAGCCAAAAAGACCGAGCAGCGAGAACATACAGACTGAAACCCCAAGTGTGGGGCTCCTGGCAGAGCCCTCCTACCCCAACACGGGCGAAGCCTCTCAGGGCCGTCCTCTGCCCCAGCGTCCCTGCTCTCAACCCCGACGGAGGAGCCCCCTGCAGGCTCTGCACGTGCCATGGCTCTGAGCTCCAACACTACTACCTGCTGGGCGCTCGGGCCCCTCCTGGCCCCTGGGATGCAGGGCTCCTGGAGTGCCCACCCTCAGTCCTGACCACTGTGCTCCCTGCCTCCCAGAGGCCGCCAGGGGAGATTCTACGGGCCGGGCCGGGGCCCTGCGCATGGGGACTGTCCCTGTGACTCGCATTCCTCTGGCAGGACACCCCGGGAGACAGCTCGGCCCCCGCCCACCCTGCTGCTTCCTGGAGGAGAAGACACACACACACACACACACACACACACGGCACCCACCTCTGGGCCTGAGGTGAAGCAGCGCAGGCAGACACTGTGTGTGTGTGCGCGCGTGTAAGAGAGTGCGAGAGAGAGGGACAGAGAGCGAGTGTGTGTGTGTGTGTGTGTATGAGCACATGCCTGCAACTTTGCGTCTGCGTGCATGTGAAGTGTCTATGTGTACATGCAGGCCAGAAGGTGGGTTCTACACGAGAACTTCCCCTCGATGGCAGGAACACACCTGAGAGGCCTCAGTGGCCATGACCTTGGGCACATGAAGCAGCGCCTTCCTGGGGCAGAGGCAGGATGGCAGGGAAAGAGCCTGCCTGGCCCAGGGCTGGCCCAGGCTGATCCCTGACAACCCATATGGGCCACGAGCACAACCAGGAGTAAATCCCCAAGCAGAGCCTAGAGAAAGCCCCGCATACCGCTGGGTGTGGCCCCAAACCCCCAAGTAAGCAGAAACCCCATAAACCAGAGAAAACTTTCTTGGGGAAACACCTGGCTTTCCTGAACAGCATCACGGGCCCGCCCCCTGCCACACTGTCCCGTGTCCCCAACGCTTTAGACTCCCAATGCTTTGGACCACCCACAGCAGCTTGGCCTCGTACGGGCGAAAAGTTAGAAGAGGCCCGTTGAGTGGCTGGTCCCTGTCCCTCTCTGCCCATTCTTGAGCACAGCCCGCCCCACGCTGTGGCTGGCAGAGGTGCCGCCTGCAGGAGCTGGGTGCACCCAGCAGCCCCTCCCCCCGCCCTCCTGGGCTCCCAGCCCCTCCCACACACTCTCCAGGATGTGAACTCCTGGGAAGTGAACTCCGGAGGACCCGAGCCAGAGCCAGTGGGGCTGATTCCCAAACCGGTTTGTCTGTCCCTGCAGGGGCAGAGCCTCGGGGCAGGACGCTGGAACCTGAACTGAGGCCAGGTGGGAAGCTGCCAGAGCTTCAGGAAACTGCAGCCCACCTCACCAACAGGGCTGCGGGGGCTCCTGGTAACTTGGGTTCAAGTGACAGTGCGGACCCTCCCCCCCCCCCCCCCCCCCGGGACGGAGAGACAGCGGAGAGGGTGCCTGCCTTGCACGCAGCTCACCCGGGCTCCATCCCTGGCACCCCATACGGTCCCTGGGCCCTGCGGGGGGGGGGGGGGGAACCCCCTGGGTACAGAGCCAGGAGCAAGTCCTGACCCCCACTGGTTAAGGTCCCCAAGCCCCACCCCAAAACAGAAAAGTGAAAGCAGACGCCCAGCAGGGCGTGGGCGGTCTCCGCAGGTGGGCAGCAGAGCCCACTCTTTCTTACTTTGGTTTCTGGGGCCACACCCGGCTGTGCTCAGGACTCGCTCCGAGTGCTCAGACGACTGTATGCAGTGCCAGGGGGGGAACTGGGGCCGGCTGTTCGAGGTGAGTGCCCGCCCCATCTCCCGGGCCTCGGGGCATTTCCATCTGGAGGAGGCTGTTTGCTCACCCCAGCAGCCTAGGAGGCTGGCCTGCCCTGAGCAGGCTGGCAGGGCCCCAACCCGGAGGGCAGCAAACACACCCTTTGCCCTGCCCTGCCACCAGCCTGGCCCCCGCAGCGAGGAGGAGGGTGAGCACAGGGACCCTGACAGGCTCGGCACTTACCCACGTCTCGGGCCTCGCCTGGTTGGGGGCGGGTGCAAAGGCAGCCAACAGCAGGAGCGCAGTACCCAGAGCAGCAACGGAACAGGGGCGGCCTGGGGCAGGTCAGGAACACCCTCCTCTGCTCCCGCAAGTCCAGAAGGGGAGGACGGGCCAGGAGGGAGACCCCGAGAGGACTCCGGCGGGTGGGGGAGGAGAGCGGGTCTCAGAGCCGCCCGCCTCCCGTGCCCTCTGTCCCCGCGCCCCTCCCGCGCTCTTGGCAGCGCCAGAGGCAGCCAGGGGTGGCCGGGCTGGCGAGAACAGGGCCCTCACCCAGGCCGCCGGCAGCTCCCAGCCCTGATGGGCCCGGAGGCCAGGGGCGGTGCTTGCCAGAACAGTGGGTCGTGTCTGCCCGTTTTGATGCCCCCAAGTGTGGCCCAGAAACAAATGTCGAGAAAGGCCACCTCTCCTGCCCGGCCCCAGCTTCCCCTGGCAGAGCAGCCTGGGTGGCCCCTAAGCAGTCAGGTTCCAGGTACAAGGTGCCCAGGCAGATTCCTTCCTCCCCGCGTGGGCGGTGAGGGCCAGGGGCACCAGGGTTGGGAGGAGGGGGCTGGCTCCCCTGGTCTGGCCCCCTCTTCAACCAGGAGGCTGGCAGCTCGGGCGGGCTCAGACGCTGCCCCCCACCCGCCGGGCACCCAGCTGAGAGATGAGCCACACGATCCAGCCCCACACGCACCCTCGCTGGCAAGGACCCTCCAACTTGCTCTTGCGAGGGGGCCTCGGCCATCCCTGCATCCCGCTGGGCCTTCCGAAACCGCAGGGTTCCCGGGGCTCCGGGCGGGGTGGGGCTACTATGCTACTCTTTCAGCGTGCCCTGTCCTTGTTGTTCTGCATGACAGACCCCCTCTGAGGGAAGCCCAGCAGAGTCAGAAGCTACAGAGAGGCGGGGGCAGCGGGGGTGGGGGGGTTCCCCTCCCAGCAGGCGCCCCTTCACGGCCGGCCAGCAACGATTCTCGGAGGGAATTTTTTTTTACAATCCATCTGCTTGCTGCAATGGGAATCAGCATGTTTCTGAGAATCAGCTGAGGACTGGTGTCTCCTGACGGTGCCTCACACCCGGGAGACAGCTGGGTGACGCTCGAACCCGGGAGGTGAGCTTCCGGGACGGAACGGGCCCACCGGGGACTCCAGGCCACGGGGGCTCAATTCTGCCTGTGCTCCAGGTTCACGAGCGCCGGGCTCGGCCCCAGAGGAGTTCCAGCCTCCTGGTGGGGGGGAGGGGGGGAGGAGGAAGACCCTGCCAAGTGTCAGGGATCTCCACCCGCGCCCAAGCCTGCCCGTGGCTGCTCCCAGTCTGCGAGTGGCAGACTCAGGGACACGCTCCGACAGTT